AAAGATCTGATGGAACTTTCCGTAGCCGGCCCTTCAAACGGTATAAGTCGGTGAGCCGGTAGAAGCGCTCGTCGATCTTGGTACGGCGCACCCAGTCGGGGAACACCTCGGCGATCGACTCAGCGTGGCGCACAAGAAGTACGTCGTGGCCTGAAGCCAGTGTTACAGTTGCCCCAACCTGCCCCCGACCTTCTGATTTGTGGGGGTCAAGCCCGATGGTCTGAAAAGCGCCGGGCAGCTTGTCTTTGGCCGTCAAGGAACGAGGAGCAGCTCGTGACGGGCATTGCCATAACCTGAATGATAGCTTTAGAAGATCGGGCCTTCACGCTTCTTCGCGGTGGGGACTTTATATTATGGCTGTGGAGTTTCTATTTTGCTCTCCCCAAAGCCGACCCCCTCACTCACGCATCTCAGCTCCCTGTTCATCTCCGGTGTGTAAGGTATACCAAGATACTCGACAGAGCAAGGCGAACATTTTGGTGATATACTTATACACCTGCTGATGAACAGGTAGGCCGATATACAAGTGCCAAGTGCCGGCTGGGGGAGGGAGAAGATAAACTCTACAAATCCCTTACCCAACCGTGCAGAAGTGGATTACGACGAAATGATTTGCATTGTAAGTTTGCGGGGTCCCCGATATGCAATGCAAAACAAGTTTTATTCAAAATCTGCTTATTAATAGTCCACAGCATTCGATTTTCAAATGTCACGCCTCACGCTGGTTCTTTCTTTCCCTTCGTTGACGTATGTATAGCTCCAGATCCTAAATGAGCCACATCTTCTACAGCGTGCCCTTAAGTTGAAAATACCACGGTCGGAAGCGGCCCTGTCAGGTCGATTTCACGATTTAGGTATCTATCGAAAGCTCTCGGAAAGGTGATTCTAGCGCAAAAATACAACTTAGACAGCGCTTAAACCGGCTAAATTGAGCTCTCGATGAAAAAGCGCGTTCTTATTGTGTGAAAAATGCTGAAAATCATGTAAAAAAAGCCGAAATTTCGTAAATCGGAGTCACGTGCTGCACTCGTCTTTTCGAGAGCCTTCGATAGATCGTAATAATCGGACAAGTCTGCGGCCGACTAGAGGGAGTTGATTTTTTGAACATGCTGAATGCTGCAACAAACCCGATTTTTCTGCTCGATATATTTATCGATAGCTTTCTCGGCGAACAAGGCGTCACTCGAGTTATCAGCCTCCTGCTCGAGGTTGAGCTCCTATAAAGGTGATGTAAAATCGAGATTCAGCCTCGTTAGGGCCCCGGCAAACAAAAGCTCAAGTAAAAAAACAAACTTTTTGCTTGTAAATTTCGTCGAAGGCGTCGCGCCACATCGATAAAAGGTTCGAGGTGCGTAGGTTGGCAAGCGCGTTCTTTAGCTGAGGCGGCGGGCCGATTTCCTAGGACATTTACAGCTGCTGAAAAATTTATACCTCGAACGAATCCTCGCCGTGCGCCACAAATATGGGCTTGCTGTGATCGGTGATCATACCCTTAACTCAGTGGCGATAAAGCGCAGAATTTGGGTCAGCTTAGGCTTAGACTTAGGCATCTTAGACTAAAGCTTAGGCTTCTATGCGATGGGGCTTCACCTTTTCGCAAGCCCTAAGCCTAAGCCTAAGCCCAAGCCGAAGCCTAGGGCCTAAGCCTAAGCCTAAGCCTAGGCCTAATAAGCCTAAGCCTAAGCCTAAGCCTAAGCCTAATCCGAAGCCAAAGCAGAAGCCCAGGGATCATCCCAGGATCCCAGGGAACAAGCCCAGTAGAAGGGGATTCACCTTATTATTTGCGGTTCCGAAGGCCAGATGGCCGGTCAGTGCTCGCCCACGTACCGTCAAATTTTCCATTTTGGAAGAATAGAACTAAAATTGATAAATGGGTGGCACCACAACAATTGAAAATCGGAGAAGCTTTTTCGTGCCCTATATTTGCTCCAGCAGCTGTATCTCGGTTCCCAATTGACCAACAAAATGGGCGGGGGGGGGGGTCAAAAACTAGGTTTGGTATAACGGGAATAGGGAAACCCGATTAGTTCTTACCAGCAGATCGGCGCAATAATAATGGGCAAGAAATCGCAACACTTTGACGATCTGCCGTCGATCCTCCGACTCGAAATTCTGAAGGGCAGAGGAATAAATAGTTTGCCGGAAACTCACCTGAAATTCATCATATTTAGCCCCTATGAAGGCAAGCGGAATCGGAAAGGCGCTGATCATATCCTTGTCCTTAAAGGATGGTCAAGGAGTATAAGATCGCCGATTACTCGTTTACCTTAGATGCTGCAGGCCGTGCGGCAGCAGCGGCCAAGATACGGCTGTGGGCAGCAGGGTCAGCGCGCTGCAGGTCATTGAGCACATCACCTACACGTTTACGCGCTCCTTCGAGCAGTCTCTCTGCCGTCACCCACAACTCGTTAGGTCTCGTTAGGTCCAATACAACCATCAGGGACGTGCTCCTAAACAGTTGAAGTTGCTGGTACTCAACCTCACTCTAAGTTCTTCGTGGTTAATGCCACGGAGAGTAGCGCACGTAGTCTCGTCCCGCCGCTCAGCTCCCAGAGATGGCAGACTTCCTTCGCCTAAAAGCGACTCGACGTTGACAGCGCACGAACATTTCGGCGTGTCCGTCGACCATACGTGTACTCAAGTCCAATTGATGGTTTTGGGGTTTCGTTCCGCTCCAAAAAGCGAAGTAAAAGAGAGGTCTTTCCCTGAATGTCATGTCTCTTTCAAGCGCACCGTTTACGTACGCAGTTCTGACTTCCGCAAACGACGACCACAGACTCGCTTCGGTGGGGTTTGGCTTGGGCTGAAAGTCCGACAGATTTTGAAGGTGGTCCTTGTGAACCTCGACTCGACTCGTCATCATCGTCGCCCAGCTGAAGATGCCTTGCCTGATTTTCTAGATATTTCTGACGCGCCAGTTGCCAAATATCAACAGATGCCATTCTTCGAGTAAAATGCTTGGAAGCGTTGCAACTGGCACACTAAAACGCCCCCGGTTACCATGGTTACAAGGCGCATAAATAGGGCATCGGCGCCCCGTGTCCGCGAGCACTGTTGGGGGTGGCAATATGATGTACAAAAGATCAATGTCAACTTAAAAAATGTTTGGCTGATTAGAATAAGAAGCTCAAGCAGATAAGGCACAGGGGAGGGGGGTGATGTTGCATAATGGCCTCGAGATGGCTGCCGATTTAACAGATTTTCAAAACTGCGTTTTTCGGAAAAAAAGTTAAACTTTTCCATAAAAATCGCGAGGCTTTTGGTTGAAAAAATTAGCGTCAAACGCAATATTAAGGAGTACAGGGTGTCACAAAAATATCGACCCCTCCAGTCATATCAGCCATAGTCATGTCCGATTGTGACGATTGAGGTATCTATCGAAAGCTCTCGAAAAGACGAGAAAGCAAGCACTTTTCCTTTTTAATACCAACCAGGGTTGAAAAACCGCTTCGCGGCTTTTCAACCCTGGCCCCGTCTTCTACAATGATATTCTTCTTTCCGAATTCGGATGACGAAAATGAAAAATGCTCTTGCCGTCCCTTTATATAGGCTAACGCGACTTCCGGTGCATGCTAATTTGATCCTAACAAATTGGGGTGTCCGATTTTCCATGAAAAACTGAATTTTAATGTCGAAAACATCATATTGTGTAAGATCTGATATGTGTGCAGTCATCTCCAGCCCATTACGCACCTAATGACGTATCGAACATACCCCTAAGTACTTCCCCTCTTGAGATACTACTGGAACACGCTGACGGAAGCTGCATGCAAATGCACACACACACACAGACACTATTTTTTTATATATAGTAGGATATTTTATTCATTAAATTAAGGGTCAAAATCCATGAAAACTGAAAACTCGGGGTGTTATGCTTGCTAAAGCAAACAGGACGACACTGATTTTACTCGTTTTTAAGAAATTTTTAAGAAACTGCTACAGTTTTGTAAAATGAAAAGCGCTTGTTTCTCGCCTATCCGAGAGCTTTCGAATGGTGTAAAAATCAGCCCGACCCGACCTTACTCTGGACCGCTAGAGAGGGTTCGATTTTTTTTTTGGGGACACCTTGTAGCCGGGTACTTTGCTTTGTCTAGGGGAATTCCAGCCATAGTCCCGACATTTGGCCGGCAGGATTTTGGCGTTTTTCCCTTCATGGGAAGTAAGTTCGCGAAGCAACGTGTCCAAATCCATCGATCCTAGGGGGTCAGCATTTAGCCGACTCGAAACGGTTTTTTCATCCTTGGTGTGCAGGTAAATTTGCTTGACATCTACGATATCAGCTTGATCAATGGGCACCCCGACGCGGTTGTTTGCGCGCTGTTCTTTGGTGGTTTTGGTGGTGGCGGGAAAGGTGGGCTGGATGTGGATGAGAATGTATACAACAGTCTTCTCCTCGCCCCATCCCCCCTCTTTGCACAGTCTCTTAGAACGGGCCGCGCATGAGCCGGTGGCTGTTTGACTTGGCGCGTCACGCGCATCGCTTCTGCAAGGTGGGGGGGCTAGGAGTCTCGCCCCCCGACGACCCCCAGGCTCTTCCCTCCCCGATTTCCAAGCCTATTCACCTCCCGAAAATGGCGAGGCGTCAAACTGTTGTGTTCACGGTTTACGACCGGACCCCATGCTGGGACTATGCGCCCGCATTCGCTTTTTTTGGCTTCCTGGCTCTTCTGTGCTTCCTAGAGACAGACCGTCCCACCTAAACGAGTTTCAGTAATCTTATGCTTCACGGACACTCCATCGACGCATACAAATGTCAGTGCTGGACTGTTAGCGGGGGTGGGGGTTTGAGCAAGGGGAAGAACCCAATTTTTGTTTTTCCACCTATACCTAGCTGTGGACGATATACTATGTATTTTCACACATTTTCAACAAAAAAGTGAAACATTGCGAAATTTTTAATGGTGTTTTTGTATCTAAAAACTATGTAAAAATGCTATAAAATGGTCTATCTTATGTTATGGGTAGACAAGCACCGGGAAAACTATCAGTTTCTGAGTCATTAGCAGGGGGTTGCCAGGGGTAAGGAATATCTTCCTCCCATCAACCTAATGTCTATTTTAAGGAAACATAAATTATTTTAAAATTAGCCAAAATTAGAATATTGCCATTTTCATGTCTTTTAAGCCAAAAGTCATCTCGAAAATTTTAATAATTTTTAAATTTTTGTTAGTGAAGAAAGGCGTAGAATACTCGTGCCATACTTTCTACTTCATTACGCGGCATCGGTGAAGATAAACGGAAAAAATTGGTTTTCCCTGCCAACCCCCCCCCCCCGCTAGAACTTGAATCCGGCGTCAATTCCCGGATTATTTTCCGACTAATCTTTTGCCGGACGTTGCATGACTCAGGTGGACCCCAAATATTTCTCGCTCCGCATTTTTATGGGCACTCCCCAAAAGCTTATCTTGTCTCGAGAGCGGCCCGAGCGATAATTCGCGCTCTCATGCCAACCCAGCGCATTGCCAATTCCTGGCATCCATCGACTTATTCCGCGCTTGGCACAACAAATTAGCATATGGCCGGTTGCTGGAGACACTTGTAATCTAGCTGAATTTCCAGCCTAGGATCATTTAAATTTGAACCTGCGGGTATACATGGTGTCCCAATAAAAAAACACCCCCTCTAACACGGCGCAGGAGTATCGGATCGGAATGGTAGTTACACCATTCGAAAGCCCTTGAAACGGCGAGTTTGCAACAATCTTCAAAAGCATGTTTTTATTCAATTGCGCTATTTTACAAGCCATTTTGTAAAATTGGGTGGTTTTTCGGGTTGCAGACGAGCTAATTTGTCTCAATTTCTCCAAGCAAAACGGTCGCAAGTAGCCGTTGATTAGATGTAGAGGTCGTTCCTTAGTGTTTTTAAATGCATTATAAAATGAGGCGTTTGAATAAAAGCATGGATATGACGATTATTACGATTATTGCAAATTCGTCGTTTGAAGGGATTGCTAATAATGTAATTGTTGTTCCGATACGATACTTCTGCATCGGGTTAGAGGGGAATCTTTTTTTTATAAAATGTCTTTTTTTATGAATGTAGCAATGCAATCCACCTCTCCCATCCCCCCAATTTTGTACTCTCAGTTGCGGTCTGTGTTTCTTGTTTTTTTTTATAATTGCATTTATCTTACTCCAAAAGTTTACGGGTTCGTTCAGGCTGATATGACGGCCGTGAAGGCAACGGACGATCGTTTCACGGATACGCTATGTCGAAATACGAGCGTTCAGAGCGCGATCAGCCGCTTCGAGCCGACGAGAAAACCTCCCGAGCCGATGCCCCGCCTCGGCCAAGCCCAGCTTCAACTACACCGACGACTCAGCCACAGTAAATAACTACGACAGGATACTTTAAAGGGATACCCAAGGTTTTGGCGGCAAATATATAGTTATATATTCCGGGCAGTACAACTGACGCGCGAATTCCGCGCGGTAACGGGGGGCCCACTGCCGCACAGAATTCCGACCCTTTCCCTCTTGTGGCGTCCCCATCCCACCGAATGGCTTGCCACTATGGCCTAATGGATAGCATCCAGGCCTACAAAGCGGGGGTCCCGGGTTCGACCCCCACCCGCGGCATGGTTTTTGCTTTTTGACTCTCGGAAAGGTTGGGCATCCCTTTAAACAGAAAAACCTAGGCAATCTGCTTGCGGATGGGATTTTGGCGGAAGCGAGGGCATCTACCTCTGTCGATTATGCCTACCATGAACCTATGAAGGCGGAGCGTCGGAAGCCGATCGACATGAAGCGTTCAAACTCGGAAGTACGAAACAAGGCTGATATTTCCAGACACACGGATCCTTCGAAATCCATTGTTACTTTGCTGCCTGCAGAGTTTTCGGCATTGGAGCCGCGACAAGATGTAAGTCATTCCGTTTTCAAAATATAAAAGCTGTGGCTAAATTAAAAATAGGTCGTTTTCACTGAAGGCCGTTAAGAAGCTTAAAGTAAAATTAAGAAGGTCTGCTTTTTCGACCATAAAAGAAGGAATTCGATCATTCAAGGTGGACGGTTCTGGACTGTTAGCGGGGGAACCAAATTTTTCGCTGTGATTCTATACGGCCCTATAACAAAATATAAGACATTTATTATAGCATTTTACATAGTTTTTAGATGTAAAAACAATCTAGAAAAATAATAAAGTTCTTGGAAAATTGTTGACTTTTTGTTCAAGAATATATAAAAAAGACCAAAAAGGGTCAAAATTTTAAAAATATTTTTTATAACCTTCTAGCAATTAAAAACTACTAAAACAATATAAAAATACAGAATATCAAATCAACCGGTAGGTACAGGTGGAAAAACTGAAAGTGGTTCCCCCTGCTCAACCCCCCCCCCCCCTAACAGTCCAGAAGGTGTACTTGATCTCCAGGGAAATTTAGGTTGAAAGGGTCTGCTCCTACACGTGGATGCGCATACGCTACATTTCCAGGGAGAGAACGTCGTCTTGCGAAAGTCTCCGCCGGGCTCCGGTGGTAAGAAGGAGCTGTATTCACGAGCTACGAGTCGAACGGTGCCGGGTACAGGCCGGCGAATTTTGGAGCGGGAATGCTGGGAGTGTATGAAGATCTGCTGAAGAAGGGGACTTCCATGGAAGGTGAAGACCAACGTCGCATCCCTGAAGAGCAGCTGATACAGCCTACAATCGAAGGGCCGAAGGTTCGCAAGCGAACGGCCGCCAGTGAGGACACGGCAAGGCTCGCCGCACATCCCATACTCACCTTCGACGAGATTAAAAAGGTGGGTTTTCTTAGGATCGAACTTTGAAATATAAATAGTGGAATTACTAAATGGGTTTTTACTATTCCTAAACGCAAAAACTTTACAAATTTGTATTAAAAAACATCAAAAACATCGAGTTTCCACTGAAAACGGCCGATTTTTGACCAAATTTTCGACTTGTTTAAAGTTTGGCGACAGTTTTCCTAGTTAAAATTTAGTTATATATTACTGAAAACACTATTAAAACGCTGTCTATTAATATATTAGGCATTTCTAGATAACAAAAAAGATCGACTCCCCCCCCCCCGATAATGCGAAAGAACCCCCTATTTTCTTTGCATCTTCACGGCGTTAGGGACGAAGCCTGGGGTGCAATGTTCCGCCCACCACTAAACTGTCGTATTCTGGCGGGTATTTGTTGACTTTTCGCGCTAGCCATACCCACCCGTTCCCAAACCAGATCGATCCGATCCGAGAACGCCCCAAATTGCGCCTATTCCGTGATGTTAGCACGCTTTGACAACTTTCCGGTCGGTGATTTACGAGATAATCTGGAATTCCATTAATCTCGCCCAAATTTGTTTTGCCTGTTAATGAAAACAGCGCAAAAAAAAGTTACGAAAAAATTGCAAAATTAGGTTTTTGGAAAGGCTTTTAGACAGCTTTAAACGCTGGATTTCTAGAAGCTTGACCCAGAGGCCCTATTCACGAAGCAGGAGCGAATTGGCCGTGGCTCCTTTGGCGAAGTGTACAAGGGGATCGACAAACGAACCGGCCAGGTATTCCTAATTTTCCTAATTAAATGCTCCCAGGTTGTGGCCATTAAGATTATTGATCTAGAAGAGGCTGAGGATGAGATTGAAGACATTCAACAGGAGATTCAGGTATATCGATCCGACTTACAGACCCTCCTCGCGCCTTTTCTAGGTACTCAGCCAATGCGACTCTGCATATGTGACAAAGTATTTTGGCAGCTACTTGAAGGTAACCTGAAATATTTAGGAAGTTGCGTAACAATTTGCCATCATAGTGTCGAAAATCATAATGTTTTCATAATCTATTATTATAATCGGACTTTCATAGTGCCAGAATTTCAGGAAGGCCGAAATTCAGAATGCCGACATTTTTTGTATCTGTCCTGTATCAGGTGGAGGAGTGTGCGGCGCCATACCCCTACCCCGCCAAACCGCCCAATACCCTTAGGGGCCCCCCAAGCCTTTAGTCTTCCCCCTTGCACCAATCCCATCAGGTTGCCTTTATTTTGGATGACTCATCTCAGTAGGGTTTGCTAGTCGCCGCGGCGGCCGGCCCTTTCCCGGCCCCTTCCCTTGTCCTTGTCCTTCTTAACTGCCCAATAAATTATATAAAATATATCCCCCCCCTCCTAAGTCGAAGGATGACTTTCGCCACCATAACAAGGTCCTGGGGGAACCGTAGCGCGCATAGCAGATAGTTAGGTTAACAGGGTACCTGACTAGAAAATGAGTAGCAGCCCCATTAGGGAAGATCGTAGCTGAGGTATATTTGGCATAATTGCCAAATACCAGTTATGACATATCGTATTCGGGGGTTTCCGAAAAAATTAGGTTATGTAAATTTCAACACTCTGAATTTTGGCGCTATAAAATTTCGAAATTACGGATTTCGCCATTGTGAATTTTGACAGTATGATTTTCGACTTTTTGTAAGAAACCCCTATGTAACCTATCTTGACACTTATTAGTGAAGTGTCCCGGGGCTCAAACCAGCTCTCTAGGGGTCGAAATTGTGGATTATCATGGAGTATCTTGGTGGTGGCTCGGCACTCGACCTCACGAAAAGCGGCAAATTAGATGAATCACAGATCGCCGTGATAGTCCGTGAGATTCTGAAGGTGGGGATAGTAGTCGTGTTGACTGACCATTCCTTTTAGGGCTTAGAGTATCTGCACTCGGAAAATAAGATTCATCGAGACATCAAAGGTGGGTACTATTTGGTTTTCATGGACGCGCACGGTGCCTAGCTCATTTTCTGGACAGCGTCCTGGTTTGGTGCATGAAACTAAGCGCAAAGCAACGCTCGGAATACCCAATTTCCCAGAATTAAGTTTGTTAGAAAAGTTGCCTTCTGCATAACGTTCTACTCGGGAACCGCTTTCGACCTTCCATTGCATGCGGCAATTTTGGGTGGGCCAGCTGCACGCGATAGGGGCGGCAAAAATGATATTTGGCTAGGGCATATGGAATGGAGAACATTCCAGCGGCCAACGTGCTGCTTCACGAATATGACGGCGGGGTCAAGCTGGCCGATTTCGGGGTGGCCACTCATCTTTGGACAATCAGTGGGAAAAAGGCGGAAACATTTGTCGGCACCCCATACTTCATGGCTCCGGAAGTGATCACGCAGTCGCGATATGACGATAAGGTTATTACAGACAGATCCATCACCCAACCCTGCTTCCCCCCTCCCCCGGGTGGGGTTGAGCTAACCGGCAACTGGGCTTTACGGCCTTGTTAGTATGCAGTATTGCGGATAGCCCGAGCCTCTTTCAACCACGTTGGCCCTTTGTGCTTGTGTGCCTTGTCGTTGTCTTGTATGGGTGGTCACGCGTTTTCGATTGGTATCGGTGTTGCATATATCCGAGTGTATGTCCAGCCCTTTGATCATGTCCTCTGTTTTCAGCGGCCAACGTATTGGTGTCAGAGACCGGCGAAGTCAAGGTCGCCGACTTCGGGGTAGCCGGCCAGTTGACCGAGACGGTGAAGAAGCGGATCACCTTTGTCGGCAGCCCCTTCTGGATGGCACCAGAGCTTATCCGTCAGGCCAGCTATGACCATAAGGTTACTTACGATTCGCTTTGCGCTCATTTCGCCGATTTATTTCCGAACTACCCTAAAACCCCGAGTATAGTTCCGGGTGAAACATACGTATCGTTCGTAATTCCGTATGATCGTAAACCGGCGTGTTTCGTTTTTACGGTTTCTTGCCAATAACTCCATTCACGTAAGGTATTTTTGCGATTTGGTTGAATATTAGGTTGAATTGAAATGAAGGTTGAAGACTCACGTTTTGACTAATGCAAGAATTTTTAGTGGGTGAACAAAAGAAATTAATGCAGGAAATCCCAAGAACCAGGTAGTTTTTGCGGCGAGAGGGCGAGAGCGCACCTTATTAGAGCGTCATTTGTATTGGCACGTCGCCAAAGTGTACTGGAACTATACTCGGGATTTCGGGATTAAAATTGCTAAGAACTACTTTCTTTTCAACGACAGCTGCATAGGGTCATTTAGCGCCGCCACCCCAGCCCTTATTTCCTAGAATCGTTCGTTTGTCTAGCTCCTGCTTTCATCAAAATCAGAGCTCGGTGCCTACAGTACTCTCGCCAACGCCCACTATCTACCCCGCGTTTCTTTGTTACGCTGAAAGTTTATAACCATTGTTGCCCTAGCGGATACTCAATCTTTCCAGCTTGTCCTCGTCAAGATCAGCTGTTTTCCGAACGCTTTTCCTGCCCAAACCGTCATCAAAAAACATCAAATTGCGTTTTGAACGGTATTAAAACAAAAGTTTTAGGCCGATATCTGGTCACTGGGGATCACAGCAATCGAACTTGCGAACGGTGAGCCCCCTCACTCCGATCTCCATCCAATGAGGGTGTGTGGGTTGTAAATTTGCCACCAGATATATATTATACGCCATTGGTAAATTGCCTGGGAGTTTAAAGGGGCTAGAAAGAATTCGCGTGTCTGGGGATCGAACCTACTGGTCAAAAAACGAGATGGTTGGCGCCGAAAAGTGCCTGAAAATTGAGTACGTTGTGAAAACAAACAAAAAACTTGAAAGAACTGAAATGTTGTTCGGGGCGAGAACTAATTTTTGAGCGCGTGTCGATTCAATGTCGTAATGCCCTGTAAGGCACTCAATTTCTCGATCTCGGTGTATCTCTCACCAATTTTAATAATTAAAACGACGCGAATGATCTAAATTGCGTGAAAATGCCACAATAGCGACAGAATTTTAAAATGAGCGCGTTTTCACGCCCAAACGGGGCAAAAAGATAATGCGGCGCGGTCGCGTTGCGGCGGCATCTGGCTCGCTGCCAGGAATCAACGCGGGGGGGTTTGGTCGGATTTCGTAGCCCCTTTAAAGGTCTCTTTTAAGGCTCTCTAAAAGGGCACATCGTCAAAATAGCAGTGAATCGAAAAATTGATATATTTCAGGTGCTATTCCTAATTCCGAAAAATCCGGCGCCCCATCTGACCGGTTCCCAGTGGACAAAAGGTTTCAAGGATTTTGTGGAAGCCTGTCTAAATAAGGATCCGGATCAGGTACTTACTGTATATTCCACCCTTGCCAAATTCCTCTTCCAACTTTTAGAGACCTGCCGCTAAAGAACTCCTGAAGCATCCCTTTATCCGCAAGGCCAAGAAAAATTCAGTCCTGCTTGAGCTCATCGAAAGGGCACAAGCGCACAGGTGGGGGTGATTGAGGGTTAGAAGCAAAGTTTATGATGTTTAATGTCGTAGATTTTCAAAAATTTGATTATTGCTTTTGGGGTTACATCATGGAGACCCGATTAACAAGGAGACGTTTTTTGGTGTGAATGGAGTTCTGAGTGGAAACCAGACCTATTTTGTGCAGAATTTTGCGCTGATTCAGAATATGTTTTCCATTTCTGCTAAATAGCTCGATTTCAAAAGTTATAGCAATTTTAATATCATTTTAGCCCAAATTTTCCCCTCTTTAGGGACCATAATATTGCTTTTCCCGGCTGTTTTTCCAAAAATAAATATCGTCACCGTATTCAGAAAAATTTTCTCTATCGAATGAGCTATTTAACTCAAAATTGTTGAAAATTGAAAAAATCGACGATACTTGGTATGGGCTGCGATTTGTGTATGGGAAATGGTGAAAAACAGCCTATTTCTCACCCCTGTAAGCCATCGACGATCGGCAGTAGCGCACTAATCAAACATACCATTCGAATCAGAAAAAAATTCTCTACAAGATAGGCTACTTAAACAAAATTAAAACGTTATAACAAAAAAGTAGCACAGCATAGCAAATGGCTACTCTGGGCCTAAAAATTATCTTAAAATAGTTGTAACTTTTTAAATCGAGCTATTTAGCAAAATTGGAAAACAGCATCGGAATCAGCGCAAAATTCTGCACAGAATAGGCCTGGGTTCAACTTAAAACTCCATTCACACTAAAAAACGTCTCCTTGTAAGCAACACAAAAATTCACTACGAATTTTAATTCCTGATCAGACACAACAATTTAACAAGGTAATAACGAAAGCAAAAATCACCCTGTAAATGGGGTTGGTAAGCTATTTTCCGAGAGTTTCCATATTTTCGACGTTCTGTGACGATCTTGGATAAGACGTCAAAAATATAAACGAAATGAAATATAAACCTAACGGAATCAAATTTCTATGGAGTGAAACCAGGAATCCTACTATATATAAAAAATAGTGTTTGTGCGTGTGTGTGTGTGTGACACTTTGCATGCAACTTCCGTCAGGGTGTCCGGAGGATATCTCAAAGGGGGAAGGATATTAGGCTACATATGATACGTCATTAGGAGCGCGACCGTCTGGAGATGACTGCACGCATCTCAGATTTTGCAAATTATGCTATTTTCGACATTAAAAATCACTTTTTGTTAAAAAATTGGGCAGCCTCTTTGTTAGGATAAAATTAGCATAAGCCGGAAGTGGCGGCAGTCCATATAACGGCGGGGAGGGAGCATTTTTCATTATTTCTC